CGTGAGGAAGCTTATTAATGCTTGGTGAACTCAACCACTCAGCTAAGGACCCGAGATCGAGTAGCGGATCGAGCAAGGCAGGTCGATCTAGATTAGATCGACCAGAAGATCGAGTGCACCAAGTCGATTCAAGAGGAAGGATCGAGATCAAGATCGAGAAAGGAGATAGATCTGGAGTACGGACGTAAATGACGCCATGCAGATCGATAACCAGATCGAGCTTCTAACCCGATCAACACAAGATTGACTCAGAGATCGACTGAAGTCATCCGATCCAAGAGAAGATCGAGCCAGAGATCGAGTGACCCAAGTCGATCCCAGACTAACCTTATCCGTCCAGCTGGATTTGGACCGTAGTGAAGGGAGGATCATTTGCGGTTTAGCCATTTTTGGCAAACCGCAGCCATCCCTTTCATTATCTTCATTCTATCTTTTTGCTTTTGTTATCTTTTACCTTAGGCGATTTCGCCATAGAACATTTAAGCTTTTTCTTGCATTTGAACCTTTGAATATTGAATCTTGTGCTTTTAATCAATTTTTAATCACGCTTAGTAGATCATCTTTTGCATTCTGTTCGGCTTTCTTTATGTGTAGCGAGTAGTTTCATTTGGGTTGGGTTGAGGTGATTCAAAATTGTCCAAAAGGTTAAAGCTTTGAGTTTTCTTGTTCTTCATTACCTTCTCTTTTAGGATCTTGAGTACTTAAGGCTTAGAGAGTCTCACGCCAAGATCTCTATGATTCAAAGGCTGTCTTACCTTGACAGGATTCAGATGTCCTGGAAAATCAGATCCTAGAGGGTAATCCTTCCTTTCCCACACGCTAAGGTTGTTTAGGGGATTAGATAGGTCATTTGTTTGAAATCTGTGTTCCATTCTCTTCGATCTCTTTTTCCACCAAACGCCATGGGTTTGGAGAAGAGATTGAGGAAGTGATCCATACCACACGCCATGGATGGATCTTGTTTTGTTTTCATGGCCTAGAGAACCTCACAAAGTGAGTAGATCTAAAAGTTTTCAAACCAAGCTTTAATCTTTGAGACCCACGAATATGACCCTCAACCCTAGACCCTCTCTGTTAGTGTTTTAAACCTTTGTTTATCATTCTGTCATCATAATGTTCGCATCTTGTTCATTAGCCATCGGATCATTCATCATTCTAGGTTGTTAGACGAGATCGATAGTTGTTGCTCGATCTAGTGGTCGATCCACTAGTCGATTTTTAGTTTTTAATATGCATTTTTAATCTTTTGCTTGTTCTTCGTGGTAGTTAACCCTCTTCCACGGATTTTAAAATTGTTTTGCCTTGCATTTGATCTTTGCATTTAGTTTTTAGGGATTTTACCAACCATTTTACTATTCTTCTTAGATTTGCTCATTCCCTTACATTCTTAGTGAAATTCATACTCTTAGGTGTGGATTGATACATCTTGCATACTACAACTGTGTGTTGCTTGAGTTTTGATAACCTCTCCTGCACTGCTTAGTAAAATTCTGTTATCAGTCACCCGCAATGGCAGCCCTGGGATCATTGACAGTCGAGTGTCGATATTCGCCATATGCTCTGCCATCCTTTGGGCGATGAGACGGTCCAGGTCCATCTGCCCTGAGGCTCGATTTGTGGTGTCGTCCGAGGCTCGGCGGCTTCCGGCTTCGTCCAGGTAGGCAGAATGGTCCGCCTCCGCAATTCTGTGAGCGGACGGCATTGCAGGGTCATCCGCCAGGGAGAATCTGGCAAACGGTCCTCTGCGTTCATGATCGGGGCGGAGTGGCACGTTCCGGCCCACTGATATCATCGGGCCGTCGGCGTCCAAGGGCCTCGTGGTGGCATGGCCTGGAGGCGTGCTCGCGCACCTGGTCTGCTGTTCCAACTGGTGGTTCTGCTTTGTGAGCAGTTCGAGATCGGCTCGAAGGCGGTAGACGTCCTCGTAATCGAGCATTTGGTGGTACGTTGGGGCTGGAGGGGCCATCGGGGGGTGCTGATTGGTAGTACCCCGTCCGTAGTCCCCTCGGATGCCTTGTTCCGATGGGCTCGGCGAATCGTTTCCTTCCTTCGATATTAGGCTTGTTCTTCCCCCCACCTTCTAGCGCCAACTGTTTGGGAGCAAGTTTTGGGATGCCACGTGGAGGGATCTGACTGGTCGTTGTGTATCGAGGGGGAGATTTGAACTCTGGGGGGATGGGCTAGCCTGCAATGTCACGGGGAAAGAAAGAGGATCTGGGTAATAAGAAAGGGGTTACCCTCCCGATTACGCTCCGACGCTCTAGTCAGAAAGAGGACACGGGACTCGACGAAGCATATTGATTCTACCAAAAGGACGGGATATAAAGGTGCTTTATCGATTCTTAGGGATCCCGATAGGGCTTATAGAGTATTGATATGTTATGGTAAATAAAGCTAGAAGGTGAAATTATCATTCTAGATGTGTCCCCCCCCTCAGCTGTTGAGAGGTGTGGGTTTTTATAGGAGATACCTGGTTCCGGATTGCTCTCGGGTTCGGACCTCCAAGCTCTCCAGGTCGGGTACTAACTTTCGTCCTTTTTCATCATTATGAATAAGAAGTATAAGTAAAAATTAAAATATATCTCTACAGTTTGTAGTACACTCTCAAATTTTGTTTTATGCAGTCATTTAAAAATCTTAAGAAAGAAATTATATAATAAACGCATCTATGGCTCAAATTTTATAATGAACACATGCGTGCAGACCAACCATAAGAAATATGATTTTACAAATTTTATAACAAATATTTATTATAAATTTTCTTTGATATATTAAACATATGAATAAGAAGTAGCAGTAAAAGTAAAAGTATAAATAAATCTTTACGACTTTAGTTTTCTGTAAAAATCCCAAGCTATGTCTTTTGTTTAAAGCATCTCTAACCCATCTTTATTTTAAATCTTCTAACATAAAGGAAAAATAGCGATGTTATTTTTTCTACTATAATTAGAGGAAAAAATAACAATATTTCTTTTTCCTTTAAAATAAAAATAGGTTGGAGAGAAATTCACATATATTTTAGAGAAAAAATTAGAAAAATACATTGGAAATGATTTTAATTTTAATATATTATTCAAGCTTAAGAAAAAAAAAGTATAAGTCAAAGAAGACAATAAAAGAATAATTTTGATTGACCTTATGTTTTTATTTTGAAATATTTAAAAATATTATCTTACACATATTAATTCCTTCATGCATATATTGTTTTCAACATATTAAAAAAATTATTTCATGGAAAAAGTTTTGTATATGTTATGATCCATTATATGTAACATTAACACATATATCAAAGTTAGGAATATAAGAACTCTTATTTTTTTATATAGAAATTAAATATTAAATATATTATTTTACACCTTCAACCATACATATATAAGTTTAGGATCTGGCTAGTTTAAACGCAGCGGTTACAGAGAGTTTGTAGAAGCAAACGATTGTGGGCCATAAAATATTTGACGAACAAATGAGCCGAGAGCTACAGGAGAATTTAATAAAATAAGAATTCATAAATTTTATAATAATTTTTATTCAGAAACCATATATCATAAAATAGTAAAAACAAATTGATTAAATACAAAACGATAGAAACAGTTTTCATGATTGTTGTTAAACGCCAAAAACTATATCGTGTAATATCATGACGTTTCCGGAAAATATCAGAAAAACTATCCAACACCTAGATATACATAATTTTTTATAAATAAAAAAATCAATCATAAATTTTAAAAAATATATATAACAAAAACAAATATTAAGTTAATTTTTTGAACACATAAAAGTTATATTTTGATTTTTTCACAAATATGTGTATAGATATAAATATTAATTGTGCAAAAATGAAAGTTGCATGCAAACTTGACGTGCATGTATTTTAATTTTAGTTAATAATCAATTTGTATTGATTAAAAAAATATATATATGTGTGTACCAACCACCTCACCACTTTTAGGATAAGTAGTGATGGTAAAATCCTTTTTGGTTTACTTAGCAATAGGTCAAAGAAAAATAAATACTTAAAATATAAGAGGAATTGCTGAATATGACTTAAAACGTGAGTTGAAATGCAAAACTAGACCTCATTTTGCATGTTTGACAAAAATAACTTACAGGGGTAGTGAAATTACAACCTTAAACAAAAAACGCCAGCCTCAATTACTGTTTTATCCCAGAGAAGTCTATTCTCTAATAACTTGTTTACAATTAATATTAAAAATTATGAAAATATTAAAATAATTTGATAAAAAAAATTAGATACATAACACAAGTATATACTTTTTACACCTATTAAAAATAAAATTCGACACAAAATAATCAATTTAAATCATCATAGATAAATTAAGATAGAAATCAATACTAAGACCAACCCCAATGGTGACACCAAAGTGTCTAATAAATGTTCTTAAAGAATATAACTTAATAAAAAAATCAGAAGTAGTGTCTTAATATTTAGACCGATGTCTTATTTAGGATCTTTTTCTGATTTAAGAACGGAGAGGTTTCTAATTATGAATAGAGAGAAATAAATCAACAAAATAATAAAATAAAAAAAAACAATTTCCGAAAATCCAATTTCGTCTCTCTCTTTCTCTTCCTCTTCCTCTTCCTCTTCCTCTTTCTATTCCTCTCTAGCATGCGAAAATCCGATGCTCCAAAGAATGCCAAATCCAGACACCAAGGTGTGATTTTTGCTGAGATCTATTTGGGTTTAGTTTGTCTATATCATCTAGCTATAGCTTTCATCTCTTGATTCTGCTTTCCATCGACGGCTCGACTGAATTCACCATTGAAACTGCCGACGGGAAGAGACTGAAAAAATACAAGCAGGTACTATCAAATCTGGATTTCCATTTGAGTCTTTGTTTGCGATTTACATTGATTTCGTTTAGGTTTATGATTCATCTCTTGCTGATTAAGGCCTTTGATATTATCGATTGATAACATTAGCTTTAGGAACTAAACATTGATTTCCTGGTGATGTTGATTAGGTGTTTGAGAACAACATGGGGAAGAAGTCTGAGCCGGTTATTACCAAGTGCAATAAGAGCGAGAACTGGACGAAAGTCACTTTCAAACCAGATTTGGGGAAATTCAACATGACTCATCTAGGAGACGATGGGGTTGCTCTAATGAGTAAAAGAGTATTCGATATTGCTGGATGTTTGGGAAAGACTGTGAAGGTGGAGCTGAATGATAAACGAGTCTCAATCAAATCGTTCAGTGATTATGTTGATTTGTATCTAACTGCAGCAAATAAATCAAGGGCTGACGACCCTCTTCCAAGGTTTGTTTGTGCTATGAGTTATTTTAGTTAGTATGTGTCTCTCAATACGTTTCTTTTCCTTTGAAAAATGTAGGTGTGATCGCGCAAAAGCTATGGACATTCTAGTCAAGGACCTGAAGGTGTTTGCAGGCTTTAATGAAGATCTCTTCAAGGAAATCACCCTTCTTTTGACACTGGATGACTTTAGGTTCTCATTACTTTGATCCACAATATTTTTTTGTTATAGATGCTTATATGTATATCATCGAGATTCTCATTCACCATTACATCAACTTTTTTCAGAGCCAATGAGCAGCTCTCCAAATCCAGGGATACAAAGTCGGCAAGGGCTATTATGTTTGGTGAGCTAAAGAAGCTAATAGAGGGTAATATGAATCATCTGTTGTTACTTGTGGCGATGACATAATCATCAAGTTTTGTCTCTCTGTCTACTATCTATGTTCTATTGTCACTTTAATGGTTAGGAATGACTTACATGAACCAAAATAATCCAAAGGTTTGGGTCGCTGTTACTGGGGCTAAACGGTTCACTTTTGAGGGTCATGAAGCTCCTGTATTATCTGTTTATCCTCACTACAACACAAATCCTTTGACAACTATTCATATAGATGGTGGCTTACTGGTAATATTACTGAGTGACCGTGGCCTCTAGCTATTATACTACTTCCTAACTAGCAGCTAATTACTCGTAGGGAAGGAATGCTTTTAGCTGTCTTAACCAGTGACCATGGTGTTAGAAATCCTCACGAATGATGATGGAATTAGGTTGCTGAGAACGGCAGAAAATCGCTCGTTTAGCCCTGCACCCGCCATGAAGGTATATTTTCTTGAATACTATCTATATGGACATTGTACGCTATTTGTTAACACAATCTGGTGTGCAGGTTCCTACAACAGCTGGTAATTTTGGTACTTCAAGTGCCAATGAAGGAATAACTATGGCAGATTGATCTACCTCTTTTACAGCTATGGAGGTGAGTTTAAGTCTGAATTTAGATGTGTATCCTTGAAGTCTGGTGATTATTTAGTGTAATCAACTAAACAGTTTTACTTATTCAGATCAATGATGTGCGAATTCTGGCTGATGTGAAGCCCAGAATCGCTGATGATTTAGGGGAAAGAGCTAGAACCTGGAAAGTTACAGAGATTACAGAGCCATCTCAGCGCTGCTCCTTGAGGCTTGCCGACAATATGGCAGTGATAAAGGTAAAGCATGCTTCAACCTGCAAGCTAGATGCTATCTTCTCATAACGAAATGGTCATTGTTTATATAATATTGTTACTTGACTTAGATATATTTTGTAGTAACTGAAAGGAACATATCTTGTAGTAACTTTTAAAAGTTGTTAAAGTTGCTGCAGAGGGAGCTAGGGCTGCATTGAGAATGTTAGGAACGGTGCTCGGTTTTTACCCTCTTAAGGTGCTTCCTTCCAAAACTGCCATTGCACCTGTTAACCCGACTTTCCTCCCGAGGGTAAGTTCGGATTAACATGCCTAAACTTGGATTATGTTTGATCAGTTTAATCAAAACTCGAGCATAATGGTGATTTCTTTCTTTCACAGTCAGAGGATTAGCGCGAGATGTGCGTGAGGACTGTTTACTGTACCAACATTGACAAGTGGGTAAGTTTGAATTCCATTTACCATTTTATCTTATGAGATCATATTTGGAGAAAGCAACTTTCATTTACGTCTTTGTTTCATAAATATGCAGATTACTCAAACTGACTTGAAAGACTTCTTTGAAATGCTTTGTGGAGAGGTAAGGATTTGGTTTTGGAATAACGCTTTTATATGTGTATATTAGTGTTTTCAGCTCTACAATCAATGTATTTTGTTTATATTATCTATTGTAGGTTCATCGTCTAAGGCTTGGAGACTATCATCACCAAACCCGCATTGCTTTTGGTGAGTATGCAATGGTAATTCTCTCTGCATTGTTTCTCAGTTAGCGTGTTAACAAGAATAGGTAACAAGAAACATTAGCTTTGGTGATTAAATAGTTTCAGTTGCTAGTTAAGATTCTACTATTTGCATTGCATTCTCCTTTAGTATCATTTAAAGAATCAGGGACTAGAGTTTCTAACTTGATATGTTATATTTCTGTGAAGTATGAAGTAGATACTTGCTTGCTTATACACAACAGAAATCTCACATAGAAAACAATTATCGTTGATGGTAAAATATTAATTGTTGAGTTTGGTTGTTGAGTTAGGTTGTTGAGTTTGGTTGTTGAGTTTAACTGTGATTAGACTTATATCTGTAAATAAATGCATCGATTGAATGTTTTTAACAAAAGCCAACCACTTGTGCTTTGCTTAAACACAAAATCGTCAACAGGATAGTCACCATCGAAATTGTCGAGTTCTATATATTCTCTTTAACTACTTCTTATCTTACATTTTCTCTTTCAACAACTTCTTCTCTTTCATTTGTGTTTCAAAACCATTATTCTTCTCTTTCAAACAGAAACTTAGGTTATGGATTCTAGGAATAGTCGATCCCAAAATTTTACAGATCTTCTAAATAGTCAACAGGATAGTCACCACCCTCACCCCTTTTCATATGAAATTTCTTCAGAAGTTCCCCTGTTTAGTAGTCAGTGTTCTGATGAACCATCAGTAGAGGGTTTAGGAACAACAGAGGAGCGTAAAGAGAGGAAGAGATGGACTCCCATAGATGATTTAGTTCTCATTAGCGCTTGGCTTAACACCAGCAAGGATGCTGAAGTGTCAAATGAGCAGAAAAGTGGTGCCTTTTGGACACGCATAGCAGCATTATATAATGCTAGTCCTAAGGTTGCATCTGGTGAGAAGAGAGATCACAACAAGTGTAAGCAGATGTGGAGGAAGATCAATGAGCTTGTCTCCAAGTTCTGTGGAGTATTTGAGGCTGCAAAAAAACATAAGACAAGTGGACAGAATGATGATGATGTTCTGAAGCAGGCTCATCAGATCTTCCACAACGACAACAAGGCGAAATTCACCCTTGAGCACGCATGGAAGGAGCTTCGTTATGACCAGAAATGGTGTGCCAACTTGTGTGGTAAAGGTATCGGTGAAGGTAGTTCCAGAAGAAGGAAATGTGAGGATGGTTCAGCACAATCTGATAGCTCTCACTCGGTTAACCTTGAAGATCCTACTCGACCTCCTGGTGTTAAAGCAGCAAAAGCGAAAGCTAAGAAGGCCGTCACCAAGACAGCCTCTGTGGAGTAAGAAAGCCAGTCTCTGTTAGAGTTTCAGACTTTGTGCGAGTTAAGGCAGAAGGACTTAGCCATGAAAGATAAACTTTCAGATAAAAAGTTGCTTGAAAACCTCCTCTGCAAAACAGAGCCACTTTCTGATATAGAAATGGCTCTCAAGAATAAGTTAATTCAGAACATGTTGTGAAATTCTAGAATTCCTGAAACTCTTGTATGATATTAAGTTTATATAATGAAATTTAAGTTTCTGAAATGCTATTTAAGTTTATGTAATTAATTTTAAGTTTTAGTATAAGTTCATGCTTGTCTTTCAGTTTATGTTTCACCATCATCATCATTTAGATTGGTATTTAAGTTCATGCTTGTCTTTCAGTTTCAGTTTTAGTTATTGAGATTGGTAGTTCATTGAAATTTGTGTTTCTGTCTCAGATTCAGACTTCATGCGTATTGAGACAGAGTCTTCACTATCCTCGTTTCTTCTTCTGTTTACTTTGTGGAAAGAATCTCTTATATTACATATTTGTATAACGATTTATGTACATATTTGTGTAAGTATATACTGAAATACTCATAAAGTGTATAAATGTTGAAACTCTCTTCCACCGTCAAATTTTTTGGTTTAGGCAATGAGATTTAAGTATTGGGTCATCTTCCGATTAACTTTAACTTTTTACTAACTTTAAATCTCTGGTTCTTTGCAGCTTTGGAAAAGACAAGAACATTGTCGCTCTCTAGTTTGATGTCGGCAATATGAATTCAGAACACATGTGGGCAAAGAATTTGTTTTGTATTGTTTTGATGTCGGCAATATGAATTCAGACAAGCCATCGTTTTGTTGTTTTGCTAATTGTATACCTACCACAAACAACATCCCCTCTTTTCTCTATATAAATGAAATGCAAAACCAACACTTTTCTACATCCATTTTCCTTTTCCATCTCTAAAGTCATTTATCTTTTTTTTTGTTACAAGAAATCACTCATTCCTTTTTTTCCATATTTTCAAATGGCTTCTTCTTCCAATGATCCATTTGAAGAAAAATTTGATCAAATGATCGATGAAAAATTAGATCAAATATATGAACAGCATTATGAGCAAGCTATCGATATAAATTATCTAAAAATCTTTTTGTTGATCGTCAAAAACCAACCAAATCGAAGAAACAACGAGCCTACATTGAAAGAAATCGCGAAGAAGGCCACATCAAGTTATGGAACGATTATTTTAGCGAAGATGCGAAATACCCGTGTCATTTATTCCGACGCCGTTTTAGAATGAACAAGCCCTTGTTCATGCGTATTGTTGATGGACTTTCGAATGCTCTTCCATTCTTTCAGCAAAAAAAGGATGCTACTGGAAGGTTTGGTTTTTCAGCATTACAGAAGTGTACAGCAGCAATTCGTATGCTGGCATATGGGTGCCCGGCTGATTCGGTTGACGAATACCTCGGCTTCAGAGAAAGTACTACAATTTCATGCTTGAAGAATTTTGTTGAAGGAATAATATATGTGTTCGAGAATCAGTACCTACGAAGACCCACAGCACAAGATCTTCAACGACTACTGTATATCGGAGAGACACCCGGATTTCCTTGAATGATAGGAAACATCGACTGTATGCACTGGGAGTGGAAGAACTGCCCCACGGCTTGGAAAGGGCAATATGTGCGTGCATCTGGAAACCTAACAATCGTTTTAGATGTTGTAGCTTCACAGAATATGTGGATATGGCACGCGTTTTTTGGACCTCCAGGTACCTTAAACGATATTAATGTTCTTGATCGCTAACCAGTTTTTGATGATGTATTACAAGGAAAGGCTCCAAAAGTGAATTACTTTGTCAACGGACACAAGTATAATTTGGCGTACAATCTGACAGATGGTATTTATCCGATATGGGCAACTTTTATCCAATCTATTTCACTTCCACAAAGTTCGAAAGACTCGTTATTTGCTACACATCAAGAATCTGTTAGAAAAGATGTCGAGCGTGCTTTTGGAGTCTTGCAAGCTCGGTTTAAAATTGTTAAAAACCCAACTCTTTTTTGGGATCTTTCCGCATAGGAAAAATTATGAGAGCATGTATCATATTGCATAATATGATAGTAGAAGACGAGCGAGATGGATACAATCTAACTGATGTATCAGATTTCGAACACGGAGAAGGAACTTCAGAAGTGGATATGACGTACTCTACCGATATGCCTACAAATCGCGGCAGTATGATGGCCGTTCGCAATCAACTTCGTGATAGAACAAGACATCAACAATTGAAAGCTGATTTGGTTGAACATATATGGCAAAAGTTTGGCGGAAGTGAATATTATAATTGAACGGTTTTTCCAGATTCTCTATTGCAATTATGTAATTTCTATGTTTCTATGTATTTTATTTTGAAAATGTTTTATGTTTTAAAATTTGTTAACATAAGTTTCAATTTAAGTTTATTAAATTTTTTTTTTTAACACACCCATCAAAGTGTCTCCATTGAAGGATTAAAAACAATCAAATTTTGCAAAGTGTCTTAAATACCTAAATATTATAAATTAATTATTAAGACCCTTCCTAATGGTGTTCCCATTGGGGTTGCTCTAAGTAGGCTTCTCGAGTACACTTCTCGAGTAGACTTCTTGGAGAAGTCTACTCTCTAATAATTTCTTTACCTATTAATTAAAAAAATCATGAAAAATAATTTGATAAAACAATTATATACATAACAAAAACATATACTTTTTACACCTATTAGAAATAAAATTTGATACAAACTAATCAATTTAAATCATCATAGATAAATTAGATTAGAAATCAATACTAAGTAGACTTCTTGAGTAGACTTCCCTAGGATACTTCTTGGAGAAGTCTACTCTCTAATAATTTCTTTACCATTAATTAAAAAAATCATAAAAAATAATTTGGTAAAACAATTATATACATAAAAAACATATACTTTTTACACCTATTAAAAAAAATTGATACAAAATAATCAATCTAAATCATCGTAGATAAATTAGGTTAGAAATCAATACTAAGTAGACTTCTTGGAGAAGTCTACTCTCTAGTAATTTCTTTACCATCAATTTAAAAAATCATGAAAAATAATTTGGTAAAACAATTATATACATAACTAAAACATATATAATTAGCATCTATATAAAATTAAATTTCATGAAAATGAATCAAGTTATAAGTTTTATGAGCATACAATTCAAAAGGGTTAGGGTTGAGATTTAGAGTTTAGGGTTTAAGAGTGTAATTCTTAGGGTTTGCTCAAATTATATATAAATCATAGTTTATGGTTTAATTAATGAATTAGGGTTCATATATATGTTATTTTAACTGTGGTTGTCAATATGGTAAGTAAATTTATGTTTTCATATAAGTTTTAATTAAAAAAAATTAATTTAGGGTTTAAGGTTAAGCAGACTTCCTGAGTAGACTTCTCGAGTAGACTTTTCGGACCGAAGTAGACTTCTTTTGTAGACTTCTCGAGCCGGATTAGTCTTCTCCAGTAGACTTCTCTAGTAGACTTCAAAAATAAGACTTTTCCAGTAGATTTCTCGAATAGACTTCCCAAGTAAACTTCTCGAGTAGACTTTTCGAGCAGACTTCTCGAGCAGACTTCTTGAGCAAACTTCTCGAGCAGACTTCTCAAGCAGACTTCAGTTGCAGACATATTTTTCAGACATTTTAGTTTAGTAGATATTTCTTATGCCAATTTTAAGATTATAATCAGTGATCCTCAAAATGTTTGTTTGTTTAGAGGGTTATTTTTGATATAATGTTGAATTGCATTGAATATTTTGTATCATATTTCTAAATTATGTGTGTTTATGTATTCTACAAAATAGACTTCATTGTTAGACTTCATATTCAGACTTCTCAATTAAACTTCTCTTGTCTCGAGTAGACTTCTCTTGTCAACCGAGTAGACTTCTCCTGCCTCGAGTAGACTCCTCCT